TGCGGCCCCCGTGCCCGCGGCTACACGCGGCACGAAGTAGGTAGTTCGAATTAGGCTCTCTAATTCGAACTACCGTTACTTCTCGTGGAACGAAGTGTACCGGTAGTTTGAATTAGAGAGCCTAATTCGAATTACCTACTCCGTGCCACGTGTAGCCATGGGCACGGAGTCCGCATTAAGGGGGATTTAAAAATGGCGGCGCCCGGCAAGATGCAAATGAAGCCCGGGATATTTAAATCCCGGGCTTCATTTGCAATTTCGAATGCCTACATTAGCCACCCTAGTTCGAATTAGGGTGGCAGTGTAGACATACCCTCTTATAGTTCTAGCCTTCACAGTCTCCTGTGGCAAGGAGTTCCACAGGTTGACTATGTGCTGTGTGAAGAAGAACTTTCTTTTATTAGTTTTAAACCTGCTGTCCATTCATTTCATTTGGTGTCCTCTAGTCCTTCTATTATGGGAACTAATGAAGAACTTTTCTTTATTCACCCTCTCCACAACACTCATGCTTTTATAGTCGTCTGTCCTATCCCCCCTCAGTCTCCTCTTTTCTAAGCTGAAAAGTCCCAGTCTCTTTTGCCTCTCTTCATATAGGACCTGTTCCAAACCCCTAATCATTGTAGTTGTCCTTTTCTGAACTCTTTCCAAGGCTCTGCGGACTCCTCAGGGTGGAAGCTCTCCTGCAGGGCCTCCTGGATCCTGACAGCCCCCCGATTGACCCCCCCAGATGGCAGCCTGCGGCAAGTGCAGCTGGGCTGATGGCCGAGTGCTGTGATGTGCCGAGTGTGGGCACTCAGGGCACTCCAAGATAGGACTGTTTTGCTGTCCCTCATCGAGTTAGACAAGCAAGCAGGGAACCCTGAGAACTGTCTGTCCGGGGTGGGGGTCGGGTCCCTTTAAGCACAGCCCTCGGCTAGCCTGAGGCAGCAGCTCCACACTCTAAGTCCTAACCTAATGCCCTGCTGGCACTGGTTCCGGCCAGCCTTAGCTTCGGTTCAGGGTCCACTCAATGTGTACATGCTATTTCGAATTAGCAAAATGCTAATTCAAATTAGTTTTTAGGTCTAGGTGCACTAATTTGAATTAGCTTAGTTTGAATTAACTAATTCGAATTAAGTTAGTTCGAATTAGTGCTGTCGTGTAGACATACCCTAATAGAATAGCATTTATATAAATATTTGTGGATGTTTTTCACATTTTAAAATATATTGATTTCCAACTACAACACAGACTACAAAGTATATGGTGCTCACTTTACATTTTTTATCATAAATATTTGCACTGTAAAATAAAAGAAATAGCATTTTTCATTGAACTTAATACAAACACTACAGTATATTGCAATATCTTTATCATGAAAGTTGAACTTACAAATGTAGAATTATGTATAAAAAATAACTGTATTTAAAAATAAAGCCATTTAAAACTTTAAAGCCTACAAATCCACTCAGTCATATCTCTTGTTCAGCCAATCACTCAGACAAATAAGTTTGTTTATATTTGCAAGAGATAATGCTGCTTGCTTCTTCTTTACATCACCGGAAAGTGAGAACATGCATTCACAGGGCACTGTTGTAGTTAGTGTTATAAGATATTTACATGCCAAATGTGGTAGTGATTCATAAGTCCGTTCATGCTTCAACCACCATTCTAGAATATATGCGTCCCTGCTGCTGATGGGTTCTGCTTGACAACAAAGCAATGCAGTCCAGCACAACTCAGAGAGAAAGTCATAACCCTGTGTCTGTGATATCAATTTATTGTCATGGTATGAGAGCAATGCCACAAATTCTATATTTTTTATCTGATAGCAGGATCAAGCAAAAAGAGAAAATGGACCGGGGAAGAAGAAAGACCCTTTGATCACAAGTAACTTCACAAGTGATGAAAAACAAGTGATGGATGATGCTGATAAATGTTGATGTTATTCCTTACTCTGTTCAAGAAGTAATTTAAGGGATTTTGAAAGACTATTATTCCCAAAGTTCTATTAATGTAAGGCAGGGATGGGGAAACTTTTTTGGGTCAGGGGCCGCCTTAAAATCAGTTGGGGGCTGCACACAAGTGAGAAGCAAACAAACTTCTCACTGACATGGCCCCCGACTGAGGAGGAGAAAGACACTTCCCATATTCCCCTTGCACACCAGAGCCTAGAAGGGCCCAGACTAGTAGATTTTGTGTGCTCCAGCCTCAAGAGAGGGTGGTGGAGGCTGGAGCACCAGCGTAGGCTCCCCCAATGATAGGGAGGAAACCCTGAGCTTTGGAGGATGGATCCAGGCAAGCTGGGGGCCACATCCGGCCCCCAAGCCCTAGGTTCCCCACCCTGGTATAAGATGATCTTATAACATTCCATAAAAACTGAAGCACAATGAAAAATGTTTTTTCTTCTTCTTACTGCAATGGCTCAAGTGGAAAAGCTTGAGTCTATAAAAGCCTGCTCAATAAAAGCCTGGTCATCTGGAAAACAAGATTTTATTAGAAAAAAGAAAATCCTTCTAAGTGGCTGTAAAAACGTGCTAATTAACAGTTGCCACTATTGCTAGAGCCTAGTCAATCACACCCTTCCTTTATATTCTCTAAAATCTGTACACAAGCTTAAGAAAAGGTTTCACAAGAGGGTTTTTAAGTACTCAGGATTTTTAAACTAATAGGTCAACAGGGAGCTTTTTATTCCCTCCAAAGAATTCAGGATAGAAACCAGGAAAAGTAAGGGAAAATACACTAATTTTAGGGTAAAGCTAAGAATCATTTTAAGGGTAAAACTCTTACAAGGGTTTCTGTTTCTCTGGCTGTGTCTTGTGCATGGTTCGTGGGCCAAAAAATTACTTCACATGTTAAAATTGAGCTTCTAAAGTGTATTCAGAAATGCAAGGATAAAGCTAAGAATCTTCTCTCATTCCCCATATTCTCTATATCCCTGTAACATGCCTTCGTATCCCATGACACTTTGAAACCCTGTCCTGTGAGGAGGACTATGTGGGGATTCCATTCAAAGCCTTTCCACAATGCTCCTTTATTAAATGCTGAGTGAGAAAGGAGCAATGGGAATCACTCCCAAACATGAAAGTGAAAGATCAGCATCCTACACACAATAATGGGAAGCACTGGACAGACACTGCCCATCCCTGCTACCTTACAACTAACATTAGTTACTCCTTACCCTAAGCTGCCACTCCACCAAGTCAGTCCCCGTGATCATCTCTGTAACTGGGTGCTCCACTTGCAGCCTGGTGTTCATCTCCATAAAGTAGAAATTATGTTGAGAGTCCATAATAAATTCCACCGTCCCTGAAAGATTGAATAAGAACATATTTCACTGAGACAGGAAGTCTTTCTACAGGATGGCCATCTAAAGACACTGAGTGATTTTCATTATGACAAAAATATTTTGCTAAAACTGGAAAGGTGTGTTAATGGTCTCAGCATCAGGTCTGAAACACCTAAACTGCCAGAAATCCTGGATCAAATTCCAGCACACCTTTATTATCCCAAGACATAGAAATTGAATTCCATGCAATTTATCAGAAAGATCCACAGTGATTGACACCTACATACTCAAGGCCCTTTCTCATTTGCTTAGACATGCATTCAGTGCTGGTGGACTGCTAATCTTCTCTCCAGAAGCAGCTGCATTTTCAGTAGTTGCTGTATATATGACATTTATAAACTGCTTCAGGATCCTTCAAGAAGAAGTGCCTTGTTCTTCCCTCCCAAAGAATATCTTTAAAATATCTTTAAAAGAATCAAAGGTGTTAATATTTTTCTAAACTGATTATCATCTAGAAAATATATTAGAAATTACAACTGTTTTCTACAGGATCATTTTAGAGAAGGCCTTGAAGTTTGAAAACTGACACCTTGTTTACAAGGTGAATGATACATTACTTTGCACACATAGTTTGATGTGCATTTGTAATATTCACCTTCAAATAAACTATCTGGCTGAATTATTTGCTTTCAGACTTTTTGGTTTTCCCTCTTCAGTAGTCCTACACCAGCTTTGTGCAGGGGGTTCATGCTAACTTTCGTTAGCTTAGAACTTAACTGTGTTAAATGAACATTTTAAAAAAATGCTACAAGTGTGTATCATGTTCCAAAACAAGAAAATTCCCTTTGACTTAAGTTAATAGAGCCTTGAGTGTCAAAAGAAAGGCAACAGGAGGAAGTTAAAGCTGATGTACCTGCTCCTACGTAGTTTGACTTAAGTTAATAGAGCCTTGAGTCTCAAGAGAAAGGCAACAGGAGGAAGTTAAACCTGATGTACCTGCTCCTACGTAATTCACAGCTTTAGCTGCTTTGACAGCAGCTTCTCCAAGTTTCCTTCTCACTTCAGGCTCAATTCCTGGCTGTGAATGTAATGATAAAACAAGATTACACATTAATGAAAGTATCATAGTGTCCATGTACGGTATCATGACTACTGTACATGGACACTATGCCATCTTTAAAAAACTGAAGTAAAACCCTGAACCATATCCTATTTAAAATCTTTACTTCCTGATCCAAATAGCAATCAGCTTACACTGTAAACCTTGAAGGTAGAGAATACTTGATAAAGTGACAAAAATTAATATAATATGCAAAATTTTGGACAATTATAGGTTAAGTGTGGGTTTTTTCTCTTCTGAAACATCAAATACTGTCCACTTCCCAAAGTAGGATACCAAGCTAGATGGCATAATGGTTTATTATTCAGTATAGTAAAATCCTATGTTCTAACCTTCTGTTTTGTCTCTGGAGCTCAAATAACAAGCAGTTATTTTCTGTAAAAATAAAATGTAAAGAGGTTCTGAGATTGATTGATTTATAAAATTAGCAGAATGGACACTGATGTAAAAAACAGACAGACGTGCACAAAAAAAAATCCAAAATCAAATTACTTTATAAACTCTAATTAGGAACCCTTCACTTACCCCAGGAGCTTCTTCAATGATTTTCTGATGCCTTCGCTGCACACTGCAATCTCTTTCAAACAAATAGACTGCATTGCCATGCTGGTCACCAAACACCTGTACTTCAACATGCCTGTTTCACAGTAACAAATGTTTCAATGTGTTTTACTGGCGATCACAAAGGCCTCAATTTTGCTATTAATTCCACCTAGGCAGACACCTGAACAGCACTCCACTGACTTCAACAGGTTCCATACTTGAAACATATTATACCTCCTAAAACTACTAGTTTTGAGATTGAACTTTATGGTTATCCTATTGAAACTTCATGAGTTAAAAACAACAGAGAACATATTTAGTATGCTACTTCTGTCTTAGTTTTTGGACTAAATATTAGTCTTGTTTCAAATCTGTGAATTCTGCAACTTCCACATAGGCCCTTTGACTTCTCCTATCATTTGACATGCATGGAATGGAGTAAACCACTTATTTTGTAAAATATTATTCCGGGGGGACAAAACAGCTTGTGACAGTTCTTATTTATTAACCACTTATTTTGTAAAATATTATTCCAGGGGGGACAAATAACAGCTTGTGACCGTTCTTATTTATGAGACAGGCAGATTTTTAGGTATGACAGTAATTTACCAGGATCCTGATCATCCCATCGTTTGCAGACACAGGCAGTTCCCAAAGAAATCAATGGGAGTTTCATGTGCAGAACTGACAAAAAACGGGTCTAGGTTTCTTTTCATAATACAGGTGCTTTAAAGCTATATTTAGAGATAAGTCAGTCTAATCACCTGGTACCTTCAACTGTAACTTTTCATATGGACCAACCTGCTACACATTTAACAAGGTGTATGCTCAGAATACTACTGCTGTGCAATCTATGCCACCTTGTATCCTAGTATGGCAAAAGAGTTTTATGCAAGTTAGGGTGTGTCTAAACTACAGGGATTTGTCGACAAAAGTGACCTTTTGTCACCAAAACTATACCTGCGTCTACCCTACCGCCGAGTTCTTTCGACATAATGTCGACAGAACTCAGCAGTTTTGTCGACGGCTGTAAACCTCATTCTACGAGGAATAACGTCTTTTGTCGACAGAGTTCTGTTGACAGAAGGCATTATTGCATCTACACTGTCCTTTGCGTCTACACTCTCATGTCGACAAAGCGGCTTGCTTTGTCGACAGAACTGGATGTAGTCTAGATGCTCTTTGTCGACAGAAGCTTTGTCAACAGTATCTGTCGACAAAGCCTCTGTTGACAAAAGCCTGTAGTCTAGACGTACCCTTGATGAGCTCATCTTATAGCATAAATGTAAATGAAGAATTATCATCCATATTTTACAGACAGGCATAGAGATTAACATTCCTGTTTGAGTACATACAGGCTGAGGAAGTCAGGAAGAGAACCATAATCTAGTGACTCTTATTTCTCTGCTTTAAGCACTACTGCACATCGCTTTCTTTCGATCTAAATGAATGGTGAGATCAGAAAGCTGATGTACTAACTAGGCATGTCACTGTTATAACATATACTGCATGTGATATCTAGGTCTCTCTCCACAGCACCCCCATTAGGATGCTGCCAATATGTTGCCAAGATAGCCAGATTTATTAAAAATTATAATTGAAAGTCACTGTCATCCATGTCACACTTTGTAAAATTAGTAAATCTACTCTAATTTTAATGCAAATGCAGATATTGTATAAGACACAAACTATCATCTTGCATAAAAATGTACTGGTTTTTAAAAATATTTTTAGTACTAAAAATATAATCCACTTCTCTCACCTTGGATTGTCTACAAACTTCTCTATTAGCACGGCATCATCATTAAAAGACTTCTTTGCTTCTCTCCTGGCTGATTCTAATTGGTCGAGGAAATCCTTTTCTGAGTGAGCAATTCTCATTCCCTAAGATATAACATAAGGTTGTCTAAATATTTACTGAAGAACAAGTACATAATAACAATTAATAGAAATCTCCAACAGTGTGAAAACTGGTGAATGATTAAAACAATAATGAAAATATGTGTTTAAGAATAAAAGAATGATATTCCTTCTTATGTCTCAAGAGAATTGTTCATTAACTTCTAACTTATGGTGTCCAACCAGTTCTGAAGCAGTAGCCACTTTAGAGGCTACTGCTCTAGTGAACAAGCCACACTCAACTGGCCAAATAACCATACTGTTCAAGCCAACTAGCCACACTCAATTGGCCAAATAGCCATAAGTGGCTAGAGTGTTGGACACTACATCTCTAAACAGTTAATCCTTTGAAAATCCCACAGAAAATAAAGTGTCACTAAGGCTACAAGATAAGTTTGTTCCACTGGTATAGTTAAGGACAGACCTCAATTTGATTTCTGTAGCTTATGCTTTTTTTTTTCTCCACAGCTGGCAGACTAAAATCATTTTGTTTTTCCTTATGAAATACATACATTTGCTATGGAAACCACCGAGACAAACCTGGAGGCCCACCATGAAATTTTTATGAAGGCTCTTCTCACATTTCATCAGGGAGGTCACCAGGCAATAAGTAACAGCTACATACTGATGGGTATCTTTAAGGTATTATTTATATAACATTCACATATTTTAAATGACCATTAACAAAATTACAGAGGCCACGACTAAGTCTCATTCAATTTCACCTATAAACCACAAATGGGCCAAACGTTCTGCTAGTGTATATTGCTGGAGCTCCATTTAAGTCAATGAAATTCTACAAGTCATTACAAGCAAAAAACACTGGCCCAAGATTGACTAAATAAAATGAAACCACAATGAAAGAATTTACAATGCTGTGCTGGATGTTATTTTATTAACTTCGAATTAAAATAATACATTTGCAGTTACCTTACTGATAAGATTCCTTTTATATAATTCAGTTACATAAAACAGAAAATACAATATAATCGTTTAGCATAACTTCAAATCAAAGAGAAGTAGTTAGCATGAGTTTTCCTTACCTTTCCTCCCCCTCCCCGAACTGCTTTAATCATTACTGGATACCCAATTCTCCTGGCATGTTCCTTTAGACATTTATCGGACTGATCTTCACCATGATAACCTTCAATGATAGGAACCCCAGCAGCAGACATTATAGCCTTCGAGGTGCTTTAAAAAATATGGTTTTATTTAAAATAGCAATGATAATACTTGTTTCTTACAACAGGCCTCTGATCTGTAAATGCTGCATGTGCTTAACTTTACTCATCTGAGCAGTCCCATTTAAGCACATGGAAGTAGTCACGCGAGTAAAGTTATGCTGAAGCATAAATGTTTTTAGGATTGGGACCCTAATTCAGTGTAGTTCAAGATGGTTTTTTTTTTTTTACTCAACAGCATAAAAGGAACAGGAATAGAAAATATACACAGTACACTAGTTGAAAATCACACAGGACATTAATATACATTGCAAAATTAATCTCTATGCAGGTACATTAGAACCTCTTTAATCCAGCAACTCTGGAAAACAGGGTATCACAGACTGAAGATTTTACCAGGCCAGGGAGGGCGCTGTGGGGTCTGGGTATGAGGGGGTGGGATGGTTACTTGGCACCGTGCTCCCTGGTGCTTATGCCCTCCCTGCCACTCCAAGGTACTGTCCCCCCAAACCTCTATGGGAGCATCAGGGAAAAGCCTCAGGGGAAGCATGTCACTGGGGGGAAGGGAGAGGGGAGGAGGAGTGGCATCACACAGAGCTGTTTCCTCCTCAGTACCACAGAAATTCCCAGATTAGGGCCATTCAGAGTGCAGAGGTTCAGGTGTACCAAATTAATTCAGAGACTATGTTTTATTCTTGATTATTTGTCAAAGGGTTCATGATTAAATATCTACTAACTTCCACCATCCCATTTATATCTCAGACTCTAGTAATTTTCCTTTGGCCCAAGGAATGTGGTATAGGCTTCTCTTCCCATCAACATCGTTCAATAACTAATCCTGACCTAAAGGATCCTAGATCAGCCTATGCATGTAATTATTAAAATCTTATTAACTTGAGAATCTTGATTGTATTCATCCCAGAACTATGAAAAGTTTGGAGCACTGTGCAATAGGCTAGATGGAAAAGTCAACAAAAATATGAAGGGCAAAAGTACTAAGTAAAAAAGTCTTCATTAACAATGAAGACAAATTCACTAAAGTGTAAGTTACATATTTTTAAGTAAGTAACAAACCAGAAACAGGTACCTCTTAATACCCATATCTCTGATAGCAGATGAAGGAGGGCCTATGAAAATGATTCCCTCTTGCTTGCACAGCTCTGCAAACTCTGTGTTTTCTGAGAGGAAACCATAGCCTGGATGAATAGCCTAAAACAGAATGAAGATTGTCAGCCTACTTTATACCAGTATAACCCACATCACCATAAAACTACAGGTTTATATAGAAAGCTTTGTTGGCAAGGGGGAGAAACATGGGATGGAACATACCATGGATAAAAACCATCAGTCACCAAGAACACAATTAAGAAAAACTAGGGGGAGGTGCCCCCTGCTCACTATGCTCGCCAACCCCCGTCTTTGGGAGTAAGCAAGCTCGTCTCTTCCTGCAGCGGCCAGGTCCCACATCAGCCCCGGCCTCTCAGCCTCCACCCCTAGCTGCTAGGAAGGGGAAGGCAGGGGGCCGCGCTAGCCCTGGCCTCTCACCAGCCTCAGCCCTTGCCTCTATGTGACTATATTCATAGGAGTAACTGTGGGATAGAGCCTTTAAATTATAATGCAAGTAATCTGGGGCAGAGAGTGGTTTTATTACCTGGGCCAAAGCCTGCAAATATTTCCATTGGAGAATAATATTACTTTTATGAAAGTACTCATTATGAGTAAAGCTAACTAAGTACATTTTGAGCTTCAGGTTTTATATAAAGGACCTATGACATTTTATGGTGCTTGGATAACATTTTCAAAAGTGCCTAAATGACTGAGGAGCCTAAGTCCCATTTCCAAAAACTATCAGCATTTAGGATCCTAAGTCTTATTGATGTTGCTTTTGAAAGTAAAACATCACTACTTTTGAAAGTATTATCTTATATGCATAAAAAAAAATCTCATGTATCTATGTTTTGATCAAAGCACACAACCTTTAATTTAAAATGTTGCTATTTTAACCATAAAAAGAAAGCATCTTAAAACTACACTGTGAGGTGAAAGATACAATAAGCTCAAAACAGAAATAAAGAGGTACTGAATGTGATGTTTAGCATAAAAAGAAAGCATCTTAAAACTACATTGTGAGGTGAAAGATACAATAAGCTCAGAACAGAAATAAAGAGGTACTGAATGAGATGTTTAAAACAAAACAAGCTGCACCTTACATAAGAACTGTCATAATGTGTCAAACCAAACGTCCATCTAGGATTGACAGTGGCCAATGCCAGCTGCTTCGAAGGGAATAAACAAATCAGGTAATCATCAGATGATCCATCTCCTGTCCCCCATTCCCAGCTTCTGGCAAACAGAGACTAGGGACATCTTACATGAAGAAACATTTAGGGCACTTTCCTTGGTACTTTTATCTTTACTTTTTAATGCAAACCCAAGATTAAATTAGAATTAGAATTTTCCCATGGACTCAGAGGAATTAATTTAACTGTTCTTACAAGAAGAAATACAGTTGTTCATAGGGAAATGGCACTATAAGGCAGGCCAAATCAAAGTGCATAATGTAGGAGGGACAGAGTAATTATATTTACCTGTGCTGTTGACATTTTGGCCACCTGTATTATTTTTTCCATTGCTAAGTAGCTCTGCTGGGAGGCAGCTGGACCAATGAAATATGCTTCATCTGCCTATTGTAAAAGAAATATATTTTACTATTGGCTCCGTTATTAGATGGCAGAAAAGCAAATTTACACCTTTATCCTCTATACAAATGCTAACACAGAACAATTTAAAATGTCTTCAGAAAAGAATTCAATTGGGTGAACTTAATTTTACGATTTTTTTTTAGAGAAAGAGACAGACCACTAGCCACTAACCTGTACCTTTCTTGGGTTTAGACAGCGAAACTGTCTGCTGGTTTTGTGATGTCTTCAGAGGTCTAAAATAAAACTAGATATATTTTTGTTTGTGATTCAAGCAGATTTTGAACCTAGGTCTTCAGAAGTGAAAATCTACTGCATTAGTCCACTTATACCTCCTTTGGTATTGATATAATTTAAGAGAACTCTTCACCATACAATTTTACTTTCATTTAATAATTAAGGGCCTGATCCTACAAAATTATGCATGCAAGTAACTTTATTCACATAAGCAGCCTCATTTAAGTCAATAGAACTACTCATATGAGTAAAATTACTCAGATGCACAAGTGCTTGCAGGATTTGGCCTTACATTTTTAACTAGTATACTTCACCATTGCAACATGCATGGAATTCTTGTCTGCATCACTGTAAACTGCTACAGACTTCAGACCCATCTTTCTGGCCGTCCGCATCACCCTGCATGCAATTTCTCCTCGATTTGCAATGAGGACCTTCTCTATGTTTCTTCTTTCTGTTTAAAGAGAGAAAGTCAGGTTGTACACATTTATGACCATTTCCATGTTACACAATATAAAAATATTGTCACTGTTTTCATTATATTACCAACTTCTATTTTAATCTTTAGTATATTATTTAAATACCATATTGATATGCTTTTTTTTAAAAATGACCCACTATTATATGGATTTTGTTCCCTTTGTATCAAAAAAGGTCTCTAGAGAAAGGAAATTACAAACTTTATCCTGTAGACAGATTTCATGGGGAGACCAGCATTTCTTAAGTTGGGTGTCCTGAACCAGATGGCAGTTGCTGAGGGGTCACAAGGTAATTTTAGGGGTGTAACAGTATTGCCACTCTTACTTCTGCAACGCCTCCACAGTTGGGTGGCTGGAGAGTGATATCTGTTGGTGGGGAGCACATCTCCGAAGGCAGTGCTGGGGCAGCAGCAGTGCAGAAGGGTGGAAATATTGTAACATGTCATCCTTACTTCTTCACTGCTGCTGGTGGCGGCTCTGCCTTCAGAGCTGGACTCCTGGCCAGCAGCTACAGCTCTTTAGCTGCCCAGCTCTAAAGGCAGCGCCACCACCAGCAGCAGCATAGAAATAAGGATAGCAGTACCACAACCTCCACTATAGCCTTGTGACTCCCGCCCATAACTCCTTTTTGTGTCAGGACCTTACAATTACAACACCATGAAATATCAGATTGAAATAAGTGAAATAATGAAATTTATAATTTTTAAAAATCCTATGACTGTGAAATTGACCAAAATGGACCATGAATTTAGCAGGGGCCTACTTATAAAATAAACTCTAACTTTATAATTTCTCCTTTAACTAATGTTTTCACGTTAATTTCAATGTTATTACAGCACAGATGGATAAAGAAAATAGCTTAATACCTATGGTCGAAGCAAATTTCAAGCATCTTTGTCCCCAAATCCATTTTCTGCACAGAACAGTAAACAAATACAATTATAATAAAGAAAAAAACATTAAAGTATGATATAACTGAGCTATTTCTATTCTTGGGTGAAGCAAGGGCACTACTAATACAATTTTGAAGTTTTTAATCTCTTAATATTTACATAGTACTGGTGGCATACATGAAGACATACAATTGGCAAAGTAGGAAACATAAAACAAGTCCCTCCTAAAAAAGGAAGTTACATGTACAATAGATCACAATCCAATCAAAACAAAATCAGAGTATTAAGAGACAGTAAGATTGGAATACGTTTACGAATAGATTTTTTTTATAAGCTTTTAAAAAACAGTGAGGCCAAAGTGTGGCATTTATTAAACAGGAGGAGGTTCAAGGTATACAGCACTACTTGAAAGAAGGTATGAAGTCTTCAAGAAAAAAGGAAAGGTTAGTTGGAAAGTGGAGGTAGACTCAAGAGAGAAGGAGATATTGCAGAGAGTAAAGGAAGAAATGCAATCAGGTTAAGAAACTTTGATACTGAATAGTAGTTTCTTGAATCAAATACGGAAGTAGTTGATGCAAATTAGAGATATTTAAGTAGAAAATATTACATTAGCAAAGAAAAGTTTTAAGTAGTATACTTTTTAAGTGTTTTAATTAGCACATATTTAGACTGGTTCATTGGGAAGTTGAAAAAAACACATACAGTAAAGTCTCGGTTATCCGACCTAAATGGGACCAGAGGATGGTCAGATAACCGGAAAATGTCGAATAATAGGGACAGCGCTGGCTCGTGGTGGGGTGGGGGCCCGGCGCGTTCTGGCTGAGGGGTGTTGCCTCTCAGACAGGCTCTGCTCATTTTCTTGGCAGTGGTTGGTGTGCGCGCTGCCCCCTCCCCGGCGGATTCCGGATGCTGCGTCCTCATGAGGGGCCGCGTCCTCCCCCTTCCTCTACCGGACCTGCCCAAAGCCCCGGCGCTCCTGCCTCTCCTCAGCCCGGTGGCGGCCCCTTCCTTTGCCACACACTCCACTCCCCTTCCCTTCCTGCCTCGGCCCAGTGGGGCGGGCCCCCGGACTCTCCCCTTGCTCCGGCCAGGAGCCGGGCTCGCTCCGCAGGGAGGCGGCTCCCTCCTTCCCCCCCCCAGCCCGCAAAGTTTTGGGAGGGGGAAGCGAGTCTGGGCCCACTCCTAAAAGCTGGGCCCGCTCCTAAAAGCAGAGCCGCTAACACGGCAGGACAGCCAGGATTGGGCCTCAAGCGGGGCAAGGGCATAGTACACCTGAGCGCTGGGCGAGCCTGCAGTGCAGGCATGAGCTGCCCCAGGCGTAGGATGGGGGGGAGGGTAAGGTTGCCGAGCCCGCGCTGCGTGTGCTGGGCTGAGGGGACCCCGTAGACCCGCCAACCAGAGCTCCTGCCCAGCCCTGGAAAAAGGGAAAGCAAAGCCATTGTGGTGTGAAGCATCCCTGGAGCCCCTTGCCGTCATGTGACGAGCGGCACCATCAGATAAAATGGAATGTTGGAGAAGTGAAGGTCAGAAAATCGAGACTCTACTGTACTTGGAAAAGATTACTAGATCCTGATAGTTCAACTTGGACAATGAGTTTAAGACATAACTTTAGTTAATAATCCATGCATTTGCTAAACCACACCAACTAAGGGGAATGAACAAAATTTGGGCAACCCCTTCTGCATAAGCAGAAGCAGTACAGAAGAGATATTCAGCCTACAATGGGTTGAGTTTGGATGAGATGAATATTAAGCACTGCTTAGGATATGAATGCACAGCAACTAGATACCTGTAGCTAACCCATGCCAACTGACTCAGCCTCCTGGGGTCTGGGCTGTTTCATTTCTGTGCAGATATGCGGGCTTGGGCTGGGCTCAAGGTCAACATGAGATGGCAGAGTCTCAGACTTCAAGCTCCAGCCTGAACCTGGATGTCCACACAGTAATGAAACAGCCCTGCAGCCTTAGGTCTAGTCAGCTGCAATGGTCAGTAGCAGATTTTTATTTACTATGTAGATATACTCTTAAATACCACTGAGAGGTGCCTTAGTAATAGCCCAGGAAAAATATAAAAGTCACCACTGGGGGTAGGTTCTAAAACTGAGCTTGATATTGTTTTCTTTTATGTGACTTGCTAAACTGTACTTGGAAGATCAACTGTACTGAGATATTTATTATGGCACTATTAAAAATATCTTTTGTGAGGGGATTATTTGTCTTCACAGGAGAGAGCTATTTTGTTTGCAAAATGTTAATGCTATATGGAAATGTCTCATCAGTGAGCATAAAGGGCACATTGCATGCATTCAAACATATTTCTCCACATGAACCCTCTCCCCCAATTTAATCAGTAACCCATTTTATCAGTTGAAGATAGCAGGAACTGAAAGATGCTTACAAGAACTGATTGAGCCCATCACTCTTATACCACCACCACCATCTGGATACATATTACAAAACTGCCTTGTTTTCTGCATGCACTCTGCATTCCATAATCACACTTTTTATGCAAAAGTTAGTTTTCTCTCTCTGTTGTGTCCCGACATGTCGACTCTACAGCTGGAAGGCACAGATTCCAGCTCCAGGAGACACACACAGGCTATGTCTACACTGGAGGCTTCTTGCGCAAGGATTCTTGTGCAAGAACACATCCACACTGCCATGTGTGAGATGTGCTTTTGTGCCAGAGTGCCCATGGCAGTGTGTGAAGAATCAGAGGGGTAGCCGTGTTAGTCTGAATCTGCAAAAGCGACGAGGAGTCCTGTGGCACCTTATAGACTAACTGAAGTGTAGGAGCATAAACTTTCGTGGGCAAAGACCCACTTCGTCAGATGCATGTACTTCCTTGTGCAAGAAAACTCCGATGGCCATTTCAGCCTCGGGCTTACTTGTGCAAGAAACCCCTGCCGAGAGTCCACACTGCCCTCTTGCGCAAGAGCTCCTGTGCCAGAGGGCTTACACCTGTTAAATAAAAGAGCGTAGCTCTTGCACAAGAACCCTTCTCTTACCATGTTGTACAGTAAACTTCCGATAATCCGGCACCTTTAGGACCCAGGGGGTGCCGGATTATCAGATATGCCGGACTATCGGAAAGGGGGGCTGAGGAATCTAGGGTGGTGTGGGGATGGATGCCACCCCAGACCCCTCATAGCCCCCCCTTCCGATAGTCCAGCTCTGCCCTAGGCG